GCTGCGCGGGGCCCGCCGCCGGCCTCGCCGGGCGCGCCGCCGCCGTCGCCGCTGCTGCCGTCGTCGCCGCCGCTCGCCTCGCCGCGGCCGTTGCCGGCGGGCCGCACGCCGCTGCTGTGGCCGGCGCCGATGCTGCTGGCCTGCAGGACACCCCTGACCTCCGACAGATCAACAGAGCCGTCCACAGACAGCTTGACACCGCCCTCGCCCTCCCTGCCCGCGCCCCTGCTACCGCTGTTGCCGCCGCCGCTGCCGCCGCCCGGCGTGGCGGCGCCGCCGCCGCCGGCGTCGTCCAACGCTGACCACGCACTGCTCGCCGCGCTGCTGCTCGTGCTCAGAAACCGCGCGTGACCGCGACCGCCCCCGCCGCCGCCAGCGCCGCCAGCGCCGCCAGCGGCCGCACCCGCAGCTGGAGGGGCAGCAGAGGCAGCGCCGCCGCCTGCTGAGCTGTCTCGCGGGCTGAGGGCCGCAGCCGCGCTGCTGCCCAAGGGGTGCAGCGGCGGCTTGCCGCCAGGCACCGGCGTCGCCTGCGGGGCAGCCGGGGCGATTGAGTATTTGCCACGCATTTGGCACTCAGCATCCACAACCGCCAACGCCACCACCACCACCGCCAGCAACAACAGCAAGAGCCTGACTTTATGGACCTTTGATCAACCCGCATGTTCACAAGCGCCGACGACCAACTCATGTCGTGGCCCCAGGGCCCAGGGCTCACCGGCAGGGACGAGTCGGGGCTCGCGACAGCGCTGACAGCGTCGTCGCCCTCAGGGCTCACCATCCCCCGCCAGGGCCCCTCGCGCGCGCCGCCGTTGCCGACCGCTTCGCCGCCGTCGCCGGTGCCGTTGCGCTGCCCCGCCGCCTGCGCCTGCGCCGGCACGGGGGTTGCAAGAGGAGAATGTGCCGTGAGTGGTTGGGATTTGGTGGGGTCAATCTCTGTGGTACCGCCCGCCTGTGCAGCTGTTGCCCACAAGCGAATCCTGGTGGAGCGGCCGCCGGGGCCCCTGCACCACCGCACGTACAGAGCGCTGCAACCAGCGGCTGCGCACCCTCTTCGCAAGCGCTGCGACGCGACCCTTGCCACGATTGCCACAGCACGCAAGACAGGCTTGCCCCTTACCCCTGCCTCCTGGGGTGGCGCTGAGCTGGACGCTGCTTGCTGTGAATACACCAACACATGCACAGACAACGACAACGCCCCTGCCCCGTAGCAGTCCACTCCGCCGAGCCTCAGGGATGGCCCAACCCTCGGCGCCTCACCTGCAGCTGCGCCTGGATGAGCGCGTGCCATTCCCGGGCCGCGGCCAGCGATTCAAAGCCCAGCTCCACCATGCTGCCGTGGCTGGGCGCGTGCTTGTCCGCCCACTCGACGCGGAAACAGTACTGGCAGTGTCGGGTTGGGCAGGAAGTACAGGGTTTCAGGTGCTGGGCCAGCGCTGCTGACCAAAACTGAAACAATTGCCTCAGCCAGGCACTTCCTGCACCGCACTACCAACAGCCTTGGCTCGCAAGCGCCTCTCAAGCTGGCCGTGCGCGACCGCTAGTATCCCTCCGCACGCCCGCGCCGGCAGCTGCCCACCAGCTTCATCACGTTCTTGTCGCGCGCGTACGACGCCACTGCGCGCAGCGGCCCCGCGCGCCGCAGGTGGCGCTCGTGCGCCCGCACCGCCGCCGCATCCGGCGGGTCCAGCTGGCAGCGGCGGTGGAAGGGCCAGAACTTGGCGGAGCCGCCGCCCTTGTCTTTGTCATTGACCGTGGAGAGGCCGTTGGTGTATAGCTGGAGGCGCCGCTTGACCGAGATGTGAGGCAGCGTAGTGCCCTTGAACACGACCGCCTCGGCCAGGCAGGCCCCCTCAGGGGACGAGCCGTCGAGCGACTGCCGCATGACGCGCGCCGGGGCCAGGGGCGCCCGGCGGCGATGCGCTGCTGCTGGTGCACGCCTGGGCTGCCGTCACGACGGTGCTTGCGCCGCTTCGGGCGGGGTTAGCTGCAGCACTTCACACAAGAGGGCTTCACATGCTCTGTTTCCAACAAATTCAAGGAGGGCGCTGGCACCACGGGCTGCACACCCTGCGGGATGCTTTGTAGAAAGGGCACACCAGGTCAAAATCAGACAAAATCCGACGATCAGTTGCCCTTCGCACGCTTTGAGTGGGACGCTGCCGCGAGTGATCTCTTCCGCATTGACGAACGAGTTGGTAGTGAGTGATGCAACCACCAGTCGTGTTCACCGGCACGCAAGGCCCTAAGCTTGACGTATATGAATTAATTTGTAATCAAGTCCGCATCATGCTGCCGCCCACTCTGTCGGGGGCGCCTCCCCTGCTTGTGCGACCGGCTGGGACGGCCCAATGGGCCGCCAGCAGAAAGGGGGTGGCCTGCCCCATGCAGCCTGCATGCACCTGCATGTACCTCACCCGTCGACTGCATGCACGGTGCACCGGCCCGTGTCAACAAACGGAACGACCCCATGCGGTCAAACGCCCCACTTACTCACGAGGCAGCAGCTGACCATAGACGAAGCGCCTCCCATGGCCTGCATGCACCTGTATGACGCCACCGGCAATGAGCCTTAAATTTGGGCTGCTGACACCTGTTTGTTTGCTGGGGTGGCAGCTGAGTGAAGTCCATGGTCAGGCCCGTTATCGTTGTGTGATGTTTGACCATGCAGTGTGGTGCTACCTTGTCAGGAGTGTCCTTACAAAGAGGCTGAAACACACAAGAGATTCTCCAACTGCGACCACTCGTGGCGCTGGCAGTTTGGTGGCGGATCGTGCACTTTTGTAGCTGCACAATGTCTCCCTTTCAAAAATACAACTGTATGTTGGATGAAAATTCGCACCCAGGTGGGTGGTTCTGAGGAATTGAGTGCGTGCTGCGGAATCAAGAGTGCTGGCTGAAGATGGAATCTGAACAGGAAGGGGGTGGAGTAACACACTCCTGAGTGACTCAAGAGTGAGGTGTCAAAGGTTCAAAACATTGAGGGGCCACAAGTGCCATCAGCACTGAGCCTTGAGACGTTAAGCGCGCATTTGCAATAGGACCTCGTGCCCTGAATGGACTTGCTCGTCCCACAAAGGTCAGACCGCCATGCATAAGGCGAGCAGCTGTGAAAGGGTCCGTGGCGCGGGCAGTTTCGGAAACAAGGCACCCAGCCGGCAGCCACGCCGCGCGCAGGTTGACCAACGTTGGGCGCCGCCAGCTGCGCGGCGGAGCAGGTGGGTGGGCTCCCGCAATTCACACCCAGTTGCGAGGGTTGCGGCAGGCATCAATGAAGTCGGCTTCCTTGGAGCCAGGGGCGGGCTGCTGGTCGTACTCCCAGCGGCTGCGGCGCGGCGCGGGGTGGGGCGGGGCCGGGCGGTGCGGAACGACTGTGAAACACAGGTCCCAAGGGGGAGATGAACACAGCTTCGGGCAGCTTCACCCGTTGCGCCTGGCCAGGCGTCGGTTCCCACGCCCTGCGTGCGCTGGGACTGTCGTCACGCATACAGCGGTTCATTCACCCGCCTGCCGTCCAGTGCCCCGCCCCATGACCATGGGCAAACACGGCGCACTGCACCCACCTGGTGAGGGGCATGGACATGAGGATGGACTCGGTGCGGCCGCCGGTCTTGAGGCCGAAGATTGTGCCGCGGTCGTAGATCAGGTTGAACTCGACATAACTGGATAATTCAAAGCAAGGGGGGGAAGAGGAGGCGCCAGTGGTCATAGTGGGGTATGACAAGGTGATGGCGGGGTGATGGTTGGGGCAACTCAACTGAGCAGGGTTGAGATACTGGCACTGAGGAAAGAGGGACGTGCAATTGGGCGGCTGGGTTCAAGGTGATGGGTCAGCGCCGCGGCCTTTTGCACGCCAAACGCCAAAGCCGAAGCGGTTGGGTGCAGGGGCTGAGGTCGGCGATGTGGCGGCGCGCTGCGGGGGTGCCGCCCGCCTCACCGGCCGCGGCGCAGCTGCTGCCACCGCTTCTCCTCCTCAGTGTAGCTGTCGTTGACGTGCTTGACAATGATGGGGCAATAGGCCTTGGCCTGCTCGGTCACGAAGAGGTTGTGTGGGAGAGGGTCAGAGGCAAGAGTTGCGTGTTGGCAGGGCGTGCGGTCGGTGACTCAACGACAACGGCAAGTCGCCTGAACCTGCATCTCCGCCGCCGAACGCCTTCAAACCCGGCCCTTGTTGCACCCAAAACCTTTGCGTCTGAACTGGCCCCGTGAGCACCCTCGGCCCGGGGTCCAGCAGCGCCCACAACGCAACAAAGTGCGGCGTGGTGCAGCGCAAGGCGGGCGGGCCTCACCACGTGGTTGGCGCAGTCTGTGGCGAAAGCGAAGATGTCCTCGGGGTCCCTGTCATTGTGGTCGTCGAAGAAGATGCCCCCCAGGCCGCGCGTCTCCCCGCGGTGGGTGATGTTGAAATACTCGTCGCACCTGGCCAAGGGAGTTGCAGGGCGTGAGTGCAGGGGGTGAGTGTGGGGGGGTCGGGGG